TTCCAGTGTAAGCCTCACTCAGTAAGTTCCAAGAGTCCCAGATGGCAGCCTCTATATAGAATACTTTAGTCAACTTACATACTGTTCCATTCTTAAGCACCTTACCAATATCTAAGGTCCAGAGATCACCCAGCCTGCAGCCACTCATTCCCCCATAAATCACCAGCTTGGATTTCTTCTTGTCGTTTTCTGTGTAAACTACAGCTGTGTGGGACTCTCTGGGTGGGGGCAAGATTCCATAGGTAACAGGAATATCCCAAGCCACCACACCTGAACCTGGACATAACTCTGGGATGTAGAGATCATTCAGATACCTAAAACAAAAAAAAAAGAATGGATGGGAAAGAGAGAAAAACAAAGGGACATGTCAAGTTCCAATGATGAGTTGATCAATGATATGAAATGGATCTGAATTCTAGATGTTTCATAAATCACTAAGGACCAGTACAGAGAATAAACAAAGCTTCATGTCAAAATGAGGTTTGTGTTCCTGGTTAATAAGTTCTCTGCTATTGAACACAGTCTATTCAACCCCACCTATAAACAAGGAAGTACATATACTAGAAAATCCATAGAATTCTGAAATTGAAGTTGAATATAAAAAGAGCTAACTCTATTCTTTCCTTAGAATATAAAATATATGCCTATATACCCAAGCTTAAGGTACCAAATTGCATTACAGAATTTAAAACATTAAGAGTGTTAACTATCTTAACTACAATTTATCCCATAGTCATATAATCAATTTAGCTGTCCCCAAAAATATCACAATATCTCTAAGATACTGTGATTTAAGAGTTCAAATTATTTGAGAAGACCTAATGGTATTTCAGAAGTATTCTATACTGAATAACGTCACCTGACCTTGGAATGTTATTCTTGGGATCTTCACTGTCATTGGCCAGACCCCCAAAGAGGTAACACTTGTTTCCCACAAGAGAGAAGCTATGTCCTAGCCGGGGACAGGGAGGAGGTCCATTCTTAGGTGTTTTCGCTTTGAGCCTTTTCCATTCCCACTTGCTTGCCTATATCAAAAAAGCAAAAAATATCAATTAACTCCCTAAAGTAAATGCCAAAGCAAAAAAAGTCACATGTGGGATGGTGTCTCACAGGGTAAACCAAATTCCTAATCTGGGTAGATAAGGCATTTTTTCCACATCTTCTCCAAAGGAAAACAACTTGATTTGCACATACTAAAATCTAATTCTCTTCATTCTAATCTTTTTCAATCATCAAGAAGTTAGCATAGGGGCAGCTAGATGGCACATGGATAGAGCACTGGCCCTGTATTCAGGAAGACCTGAGTTCAAATCTGGCCTCAGACACTTGACACTGGTTGTGTGACCTTGAGCAAGTCACTTCACCCCACTGCCAAGCAAAAAACAACAAAACTCAACAAGAAAAAAGTATAAAAATTCTGACAGGTTAAGTAAAGTTCTTAGTCTTAGGGGTAGGCAGGTTATAACCTGCTTTGCTTTAAGATAAAACAATGCCTATTCCATACTACATATGAGAAAGAGTTGGTGCTATAAAACAAATGTATTACCTGTAATTCATAGAGATCACTGCTATACTTTCCATACTCCACCATCCCACCAAAGACCAAAAGGCGAGTTCCATCACAGACAAAGCCATAGGCTGCACAGCCTGGAGGAATGTCTCCTCGAACAGCAGGGATAAACCATTGATTGGTTGCTAAAAAGCAAAAGAAAACAGTGGTCAAAAACTACTGGGACAAGAGCAATATCTAACATTACAGTTATCCCTTCTACATCATGACTTTCCACACTGAAGTTTCTATATGTTGATGGTCAGCATAAGAAATTAAATGGGAATTATAAATTGGAAAGAGAAATGCTCACAGCTGAGCAATGGGGCTTTTTCATGGGAACAGCCAGGAAGCTGGTGTCACTGACCTTTCCACAACTTTTACTCTTATGACTACTGTGGCTTCTGTTATCAAAACACTAAAACTATTCCATCTGCATAATCTTGTTTACCAAACAATCCAAAGTACCTATCTATAAGTTTCAGGTGATACTTTCTATACCCCATTTCCTTCACAGAATATTACCTGCTTCTAGTCTGAATTAGTTGATATAAATAATAGTTATAACTGATTTCTCCTGTTCTTCTTGTCTCTATGGTTATTAAGTCACTGGCAATCTAAGAAAACACATTGCACTACAATACTGAGAATCCTCCCTAGAATTAAAGTATTTTCTCTTATTCAGCCCCACACCCTAACTCCTACTAAGTCTATCACTGGAGTCTTTAAGTCAATACTCTTTTTTGGTAACCAAAGTATACAGAGCCCAAGGAATTACTTTTACTATATGTCTCCCCCATCCCTATTCACAGCTAATGATTAGATTAAGTCTCACAACTTATGGTGATTGTATATATTACCTATTATACTACCTTAAATGCAACAAGGTAGTCTTTTTATTTTTCTCTAATTTATTCTCTAAATCTCACACTCTACAGAAGGTATTCCAAACTTTTTCCTCTCACTAAGCCTCCCATATAACCCTCTGCCTTCACTGTCTCATTTGAGCACTTCCCCACTTACTTTACTGAGAAAATTCAAGCCATTCAATATAAGCTCTCTTATCTAACTCTATTCATCTCAAAATTACTTGATAGTTTCTCTCCTTACCGAGAAATTTACATTCCCTTCCCTCCGTGCTTCCTTTGCAGAGACTACAGTTTTTCTTCAGTTTTGCACTTTTCAACTTATGAAATACTGCTACCTACCCCTTTTTTCTAAATATACTAGGTCTGGGGGTCAGCAAGGTGGCACAGTGGATGGAGCGCCAGCCCTGGATTCAAGAGGACCTGAGTTCAAATATGGCCTCAGACACATAACACTTACTAGCTGTGTGACCCTGGGCAAGTCACTTAACCCCCACTGCCCAATCAAAAAAATGAAATTAAAAAATAAAATAAGAGAGACTGGAATTCCTTAAAAAAAAAAAAAACAACTAGGTTTTACTCCTATCTTTTCTGACTATTCCTCTGTCTCTGCTACTGATTCATTTGTACTATAGCCTCAAATTCTATACGCTCTCTGAGATTGCTGGGTGGCACTGGGCCTGAAGTCAGGACGACCTGGGCAACTCACTTTTTTGCACCAGTTTCTTCATCTGTAAAATGGGGATAATAATAGCACCTGTTTCCCATG